TCCCACATATACTCCCTCCCTTTCTCTATAACTCTGCTTTTCAAATAAATATTTGTGCTGAAGGAAATGACAAATATGAAGGATCAACAGATTGTGTCAGTGTCACCAGATTTAGTTCTTTAAGGAAGGTGGAAGAAGCATCACAATTATCTACCTACTAACCACTAGATATTGATAATCTCAGGTCATTCTTACTAAATAGAATTAGATTTAGAGAATTATCTTTATTAACTACTGCCAAAAAGATTCCAGAATTGAACCAACTGCATGCCAGACCTTTTAAACCCCCCCACCCCGGCCGGCGCCGCGGCTCACTAGGCTAATCCTCCGCCTAGCGGCGCCGGCACACCGGGTTCTAGTCCTGGCTGGGGCGCCGGATTCTGTCCCGGTTGCCCCTCTTCCAGGCCAGCTCTCTGCTGTGGCCAGGGAGTGCAGTGGAGGATGGCCCAGGTGTTTGGGCCCTGCACCCCATGGGAGACCAGGAGAAGCACCTGGCTCCTGCCATCGGATCAGCGCGGTGCGCTGGCCGCAGCGCGCAGGCCGCAGCGGCCATTGGAGGGTGAACCAACGGCAAAAGGAAGACCTTTCTCTCTGTCTCTCTCTCTCACTGTCCACTCTGCCTGTCAAAAAAAATAAAATAAAATAAAAATAAAAAAATAAAAAATAAAAAACCCCCCCTTTTTTTTTTATCAAATCAACCCATATTTTTCAAGTTTCTGAGCTAGGGGCCAGCGTTGTGGTATAACAGAGAACATGGAAGATTTTTGTGCATTGATTTTATATCCTGCTACTTTGCCAAACTCTTCTATGAGTTCCAATAGTCTCCCTCTCTCTCTGAGGCCCTTCCTTTCTTTTTAGAAATGAGGATTCTAGTCTACTCCACCCAGACCATGGAGACTTGGTGATTTATTTATTTTATTTTATTTATTTATTTTTTTATTTGAAAGTCAGAGAGGAAGTGGCACTGGCAGGGGGGTGGGTATCTTCCATCCACTGTTTTACTACCCAGATGGCTGAATCCCAGCAGATGGCTGCAATGACCAGGGCTTGGCCAGGCCAAAGCCAGAAGCCAGAAGCCAGTAGCTTCATCTGGGTCTCGCATGTGGGTACAGGGGCTCAAGTACTTGGGCCAACATCCGCTGCTGCTTTCCCAGGCACATTAGCAGGGAGCTGGATGGTGAGTGAAGCAGCTGGGACTCGAACCGGCGCCCATAGAGGATGCTGGCACTGCAGGAGGTGCCTTTACGGGCTATACCATAGCGCTGGCCCCCTCTTAATAATTTTCTATCCACTGACCTCCACCCTGCTTCTTGGCTATAAATCCTGCTTATCCTTATTGGAGTCCAATCTCTGCCCTGCGGGAAGATTCCAGGGCAGCAGTTCCTACACCTTGCACCACAGCCCCATGAATAAAGTCTGCCCTCCATCTTTAACCAATGTCATGAATAATTTTCCTTTAACACATTTCTCCACTGCCAAGCTAGACAGCAGTGAGAGACAAATCAAAAAGTTATATAATTAGAAAAACCATAGGGAACTTAAAAAAATCAACTCCTTTGTTAAAGATTTATTTATTTATTTGAAAGTCAGAGTTACACAGAGAGAGAAGAGGCAGAGAAAGAGAGAGAGGTGTTCCATCCTTTATAAAGGTAACTAGCCACTCATCTTAATCTAGACCTACCTTAACTAGACCTCATCTTAATCAGCCTACCTTGTACTACTGTACTCTGACCATAACGGCTGCCTTGCTGGCCTCCAGCTTAGGGACTTCTACCCATGGATTTTCATGGCTAAATCATCATCTACTTCAAAGTCTGTGATGAAATAGTCCTTCTCAATGACACCTTATTTAAAACTACAAACCAGGTCCTCAGCATGCCTGACCCCCACCTTCCCTGCTTACAGTCCCCTGTACTGACCGTTTCTAGGACTCTATGTAATTTGTGTCCCACCCTAGAAACCCTGTTGAGTAGGAATTTGGGCGTGTTTTATACTTAGATGAATTTTCAGTGCCTAGAACAGCCCCTAGCACACATCAGATACTCAAATGCTTGGTGAGTGATTAATAAAACTCCCATTTTTCAGGGCCAGGACTGTGGCGTAGAATGTTAAAGCCTTCACCTGTAGTGCCAGCATCCCACATGGGCGCCAGTTCCAGTCCCGGCTGCTCCACTTCTGATCCAGCTCTCTGCTAATGGCCTGGGAAAGCAGTGGAGGACAGCCCAAGTGCTTGGGCTCCTGAACTTATGTGGACCCGAAGAAGCAGGCAGGCCTCTTTGCTTCATGTTAGCCCAGATCCAGCCATTGCGGCCACCTGAGGAGTAAAGCAGTGGATGGAAGACCTCTCTCTGTCTCTCTCTTTCTGTCTGTAACTGCTTCTTAAATAAATCTTCTCTTTTTCTATGTGAAGGTACTGACTGGGACTAATACAACCACCAATTATTCTCTGCATTCCCCCATATACTTAATCAATCTCAACAGTCCAATTGTCTGCCTAGTCCCTATGGATTCTGAGTCACACAGTCTAGCACATACAAATGTTGTTGGAATTAGTGAAAATTCCATGTTCTGAACATAAGACATGAAGCTTCTCTCAGGGCAGGACAATTCTATTATAAAATCATCCTTGTGAAATTAATGGCAGATCTCTCTCTCTTTTTTTTTTTTTTTTTTTTTTTTTTGCCTTAAGGCAAAGTCAGAAAGGCTGCTGCACCAGTTCACACCCTTTCCCCCACAAGGACAACAAAAAGATGCACTCAAAGATGCCCTAACAATAAGCATTACCTTAACACACTCAACTCTGAAAGAAACCAGGCCAGTTTAATTAATATCAGTTAGCGGGCTTCACAGGGAATGCTACTTCTACTTTGAGTCTGATTTTCATTAACCTGCTTTGGTAGAGAAACAAGGTAGCCAACAATTTATCATATGCTAATTAAAGTTTTAGGAAATAATTTTAAAAACACATTATTTAAAAGCTGGTAGAACAGTTTTTAAAATGATCACAAATTCTTTGATGCATTTCCCACCAGGGAGACTGACACTAGTTCCCCATGTTCTCGCTCTGGGCTGTCCTGAGTGATTTATCACAGACCAGAAAAGGGCATGGAAAGGTGGCCACTGTGGTGCAGTGAGGTCAGCTGTCACTTGGGAAATGGAGTGCTGGAGTGCTGGTTGAGATCCAGCTCTCTGCCAATGCACCTGGGAATCAGCAAATGATGGCTCAAGTATTTGGGCCCCTGCATCCACACAGGAGACCTGGAATTCCAAGCTTCACCCTGGCCCAGCTCCAGTCTTTGTGGCCATTTGGGGAGTAAACCACCTCTCTATAACTATGCCTTTCGAATAAATAAACAAATCTTTTAAAAATAATAAATAAAAAGAAAATTCTTTAAAAAAAAAAAGATCATGGAGTCTCAGCCAGGATCCTTGGCTACCCAATCACCATGCTACCAGGAGTCCACGCCACACGGAGAAGACACAGCAAGGTACTCTGGTAACAGCCTCAGCTGAGCCAGGCCTCCAAGATGTTGCAGCCCAGGGGACCTCGGGGTGAAGAAGCCTTCAGATGACCCTTGCCTCCAGCCACCTGAGTCTTACCCTCTACTCGAGTCTCCCAAGCAAGCCCCAACCCTGGAGCAAGGACAAGCCAGCCATCCCTGCTGTGCCCTGACCGAATTTCTGACCTGCGGAAGCTGCGAGCACAGTAAGAAGTCCACACCACAAATCTTTGGGGAGCCTAGAGAATCAAAAACTGGAACACTTGTGCTCATCAAAGCCTCTATCTAATTCCCATACTTCATTTTCTCACCAATGCAGAGCCAAGATTCCATCAGTTATAGATAGGTAACACATCACACAGACCCAGGCTTTAGGACAGGGCAAAGAAATTCTTTGGCACTAACTTTGATAGCAACTGGCCCTTGGTCACCTAGATCTGTGTACTGAACCAAGGTGACTATACCTATGTGAAATAAGTAGGTAAGTGCTAGAAACACACACAGATCAAGGCACACAGCTTCCAATGAAAACGTAACAGAGCATAGCTAGTGTTAACAAGGACCTTCTCATAAGGCTCTAGTGCTGTGCTTGCCACATTAATGTAATACTTTCTTCCTTTAGAAACCAATTCCCAACCCTGAAAATTGTCACAACACTATTCGCAAAAATCTCTTACTAGGGAAAACAAGCATTTTCACATATCAGAAAAAACATTAGAGTAAAACACCAATTTAAGAAAACAGTGTTAAATAAATCAAACTGAGATGTGCCACTTTATTCTTGCTTCTCAAAGCAAAACAAAATTAATCTTGAAGCAAATTATCACATAACCACAGCATCAAGGCTGATAATATGCAATTTTTACAAGAGCCAAACTGAATTTAGAAGCATTTAAAAATCAATAAGTAAAGTTAATATGTCTCATAGTGGTGATGGAAATACGTTTTAAAGTAAGCAGCAACAGCAACCAAAAACCTCGACTGCTCCTTTTCATTATAACTGTTCTACAGTCAACACTGCCCTCTGGTGATGCAAAATAAAATCAAATATCAGAAAGTAAACACACTTAATTCATTTTAATATGTTTAAGCCAAGGCATCTAGCTTAGGATGAGTTTTATTATTTTCTGTTTGCCAAATTAGACATTTCTTAAGAAAGCATTAACTCTGGAATACTAACCCATAGGAACAGCAGCTCTTTCAATGTGCTGTTAAGGAAACATCACTACCCAGTGAACTGCATCTTCACCTAAAGTCCTGCAATTCAAGAAAGCCCCTGCGGGCACGGAGGAACAAGAGCACAGCCTCCCCTCCGCAGGTGAGCCAGCACAGTTCTCAGGGCACGTGCATCTGACACGGACACACGGCCCTGGGAACCAAGGCCTCAGAGACATGCTGGCTCTGCCCATTAGCGCACCGGACTGCTTATTTTAGGGAAAAAGCTCAAGAGAAAGCTTCTGGCTGCTCAGTATTTACTGAGCCCAGGAAAGGTGGACTCACCGAGGCTCGTGCCGTCCTGGCCCATGATACACTTCATGGAGGTGATGATCTGCTCCACCACCGGCGGCGACAGGGACGTGGCGTACACCGCGCTGTGCGAATGTGTGCGCAGGTAGTCGATCAGCTCCTGGGGGTTCACAGAGGCAGACAGTTAGAGGCAATGTCAGTGCTGTCCTTCCAGGTGCTGGCGGACTCCTGCCTTCAGTGGCACCATGCAAGGCATGTTGATGTCGCTCCCCCTCTTCGCGGAGGAACGACACAGGACCCTGCGCTGTTCTTTCGTCTGCTCGGCCCTCCCTGGGTTTGCTGCTGGTCCTTCCCGGGTTGGCTGCCGTCCCTCCACCTCCGTGGAAGGGCGGTGCCCCCTGCCACTTTCCCCACTTCCGCGGGGGAGCGACATAATGGTGCCGCGACTCGGATAGGAAACCTAGGAGGGAAGAAGCGGGAAGAAGTGGGAAAATACTGGAGAGAGATTAGAGACAGCCTAGGGAAAAGCTGGACGGAAAAAGTGCCGGAAGAAGTTAGGATTGAAAGCGAAAGTGAAAGCTGGAAGAAACATAGACTCGGATACGGACTATGACGGGGAAGTTAGGAGAAATCTATGGTTGAAAGCGAAAGTGAAAGCTAGAAGAAACTTAGACTCGGATACGGACTGTGGGGAGAAGCCAGGAGAAATGAGAGGGGAATATTGTTGGAAGAAAAGTTAGGAAACATACCGGGTAGAGAAAAATACGTTAGGGAGGATGAAGCCGCGGGGGCAGGCCGAAGCGGAGACGTAAGCTAGGTTGGGATTCGTCAAGTCAGCCTGGGGAGCAAAAGGCGAAAAACTAAAACCAGAGGCGGAGAGGTAAGCTAGGTTGGAATCCGTCAGATTAGCCCGGGGAGCAAAAGACGGGAAGCCAAACCGAAAGGCAGAGACATAAGCTAGGTTGGATTTCGTCAGGTTAGCCTGGGGAACTTAGACTGAAAACTAAACCAACTGAGAAGCGGAAACGTGAGCCTAGGCCGTGATTCGTGGAAGCCACCGAGCGCAGAGGGAGCGCGCGGGGCACAAGCGGAGAGAGCGCACAGGGCGTGAGTGGATAGGGAGCGCGGGGCTAGCGCGGAGGCCGTGGGGCGGGCGCGAAGGGGTGCGGAGACCACGGAGCGCTCCCGAAGCTGGGAAGCCGTGCAGATGAGAGAAGCGCGGGCTGAAGCTGTGCAGAGTCGGGAAGCCGCCGCGGGGCGAGGCGCCGAGAAGCAGCCTCGGGGCGGGCGCCGGGAAGCCACGGGGATAAGAGAAACAGAAGTTTAGAAGTAAAATGAGAGAAATAGGAATGCTGGCAGATAGAAGTAAAATAGGAGAAACAGGAATGCCCGGAGATAGAGAAATAGAGAAAAATAAGGCCTCCCCACAACACGGCAATGAGAGAGCTCGGATTCGGTCTGCCTGATTAGTAAGGCGATGAGCACCTGCGGGCAGCTAGCAGCTTATCCGCTGCAGGTCACCGAAGACAGGCACGTTATCAACACCAATAAGTCTCCCCACAATATGGCAATGAGAGGGCTTGGATTTGGTCTGCCTGATTAAGGCGATAAGCACTTGCAGGCAGCTCGAGCAGAGCGTGCACTGCAGGGCACCGAACACAGGCACGCATCAGCGCCTAAAAACCTCCTCACAACATGGCGAAGAGAGGACCCGGATTCGGTTTCCTGATTGGTAGGGCTTGTAAGCACCTGTGGGCAACTCCAGCAAGCAGAGCAGAGTGTGTGCCGCGGGGCACCGAAGACAGGCGCGTATCAACGCCAAAAAATAAAAAGAAAGGGGGAACTGTGGGGAGCAACTTGGACTAGACTAAGTTACTGGAATTAAGACTTATTCTATGCATCTGCTCTCCCACAATATGGCACTGAGAAGGGAGTAAACAGCTTCTACACAGCTGCCTCTCGCCAACTTGAGTGATGACCTGCAGGAGCTGATCCTGCTCCTGATTGGAGGAGAGCAGCGTACTCGGCATGTGGGTAGCAGAGTTGGGATTGGCGGAGGAGGACTATAAAGGAGGAGAGAGACGGCATGCACCAGGAACATCTAAGGGGAACATCTGAGGGAACACCTGTGCAGCCCCCGAGAGAGCCGGCCGGCAGTGTGCCACTCCCCCGTGGAAGTGGGGAAAGTGGCAGGGGGCACCGCCCTTCCACGGAGGTGGAAGGACAGCAGCCAACCCGGGAAGAACCAGCAGCAAACCCGGGAAGGGCCGAGCAGACGAAAGAACAGTGCAGGGTCCTGTGTCGTTCCTCCGTGAAGAGGGGGAGCAACATGATGAGGTACGCAAGGCGTAGCATTCGAGTACTGTCGGCAGCAACCAGGTCACCAGTGTGGCAAGTCCTCCGGCTTTGTTCTGCTTCTTAAGCGTGCCACAACGTAGAAGAAAAACAAATTTTAAAGACTCCAACTGCAGAGAACGTATCATTTAATGTTACAAATAAGTGTACAAGGCTAAATTAAACAAGGTGCTTGGGTTGCTTCCTTGATACAACAACTCACTTCTACATATTACAGAAAACGTCATGTGTATCTCACCTCATGCCTGCAAAGCTCATCCTGCACCTCTAAGTTAACAATTACCTAGGATCAACTTTAAGGCTGTCTGGATATACTCCAGTTACACAGAAATTTATAAAATGACATAAGCATGGTAAAATTTAAATAGGAATTCACTGGGTCTTTCATTAGAATGATAATGCCATCTCACTGAGTAATGTTAAAAATCTTTTCTGTCAGTTATTTTTTAAAAAAGATTTATTTATTTATTTGAAAGGCAGAATTCGAGACAGAGAGATCTTCCAACCAGTGGCTCACTCCCCAAATGGCTGCAATGGCAGGAGCTGGGCCGGTCTGAAGCCAGGAGCTTCTTCCGGGTATCCCATGTAGGTGTCAGGGACCCAAGGACGTGGATCATCTTCTGCTGCTTTTCCCACACCATTGGAAGGAACTTGGATTGGAAGCACAGCAGCTGGGACTCAAACTGGTGCCCATATGGGATGCCAGAGTTGCAGGCAGCAGCTGTTTTACCCACTGTGCCATGCAGCTGGCCCCTTCTCATCAGCAGGTCTTTACATAAAACACACGCACAGCAGCCCATGTACCAGAAACAAGTAAGGTGACATAAAACATGCCTGTAAAACAGTCACTTCAAAAATACTAAAAATTGAACTCTAAAATCTCAAAAGTACAATTATACTGTACTTAAGTGGTCTCCCAAAGTATTACTTTTATAATTTGGGATTCATAGCACTATAACTTTCTAAAAAGCAACTGACCCTACAAAGTGGGCCTGGTCCTATTAAAAAGAAGGTAGAATGCAACCTAATGAAAATGGATAATCCCTAAAAGGGTATCAATTATTAGAACAATTAATACTTCTTAAAGACTCAGTATTGAGTTTTAAGGAGGAAATAATAACATTTATGAGCACCAAGATATGTGGCATGTGTTCTTTATTCTTGCTGCCATGAGTTTTCTGAATAGCAGTTTTATTGAGATAAAAACCACAAACCACAGTATTCTTCTTTTCAAAGTGTACAATTCAGTGGCTTTGTGTATATTCAAAACTGCACAACCTTCACCATTATTTAATCTATTTTAGAACATTTTCATCACCCTTAGAGGATACTTTGTACCCTACAGCAGTCACTTTCCATTTCCCCATGCCTTCAGCCCCTGACAACTATTAATTACTTCCTGTTTCTATGTCTGCTCTGGACACAACATACAAAAAACAAAGCACCAAACCCACAATGTGACCTTTTGTGACCAACTTCTTTTACTTAACATAATGTTTTCAAAGTGCATCCATGGTAAAGCTTGAACACACACATTATTTTTTGAATCCTTACTACAATCTGACAAGCTAGGCATATTTATCTGTATTTTACTGACAAGGAAACTCAAGGACAAACAATCTTATAAAATAAGCAGAGAAATACTCAAATCCAGGCCTCTGTTTCCAGGATTCTCCATCTCCACCCAGCCACACTGATTATTAGTTGCCTCTGAATTCACTACAGAATTTTCAAACTGACAAATACTATGCTTTGTTGCACCCCAGAGCTAGCAAAATCCTTTTTCTCCCATTTCTATGTTCACTCACGATAGGTCTGAGTCCAAGGGCAGACCAACTAGTCTCACAGCAGCCTCACTACTTCTGAAACTGTGAGCACAACTCAAACCCCATAGATGACCGTGGCAAACAGGAAGCACCACTGTGTGTTCTTCATAAAAGAGAGTATTCTGTATCTCAGATCAGTGTGGTTTAGAAAGAAGCCCAACTAAGAAAACAACAAACAATGAACAGAACGGGCCTTTAGTTCAGTGGGGGAGATTCCAGAGCCACTCCCCACGCAGCTGAAGTGTGAAGCCTGCTAGCACCAGAAGCCTAAGCCACAAATAAATTCAGCAGCTCCACGTCCCAGTTCGGGTCCCACCTGATACACATCTCTACGGCTGGCATTCTCACGCCTAGTTACCTTCTTGCCTCCGATGTAGCCTCCAGAAGCACCAAAGCTCTTTGTGAATGTCCCCATCATAACGTCCACATCCTCTGGATCCAGACCAAAGTACTCCACCACACCTCGACCCGTGGGGCCCAGGGCCCCGATGCTGTGCGCCTCGTCGAGATACAAGTAGGCCTTGTATTTCTTCTTGAGAGCAATCACTTCAGGAAGGCGAACAATCGATCCCTCCATGCTGACAAAACAGGATTTAAAAAAATACACTGAGGCTTTTCAACTCCCCACGTTAGGAGCCGGCCACTTGATTACTAATGTTTTGAGTTTATTGCTTTTTAAATGACTGAACAACATTACCTGTGGTTTTAAACAGACAGTTAGAGGAGGCCAGCATGGCTAAGCAGAAGTCTGTGGGGAAGGAGACTGGATCTTTTAAAACAAGCTCAGAATATAACTGATCTTAATTCATGACAGAAAGAATTAAGGTAATAGCAGATTCTTCTAAAGCTTACAGTTACAGGCAACAGTAGACTTTTTATCACATTGCATATGTAATTAAAATTATACAAAAGAACAAAGAGAAGACAATAAATATAAGAGTTCCAAAGTTAATAAAAATATTTCTTAAAATTAAGTGGTAATTTGTTCTGACATATTAGAATGTGTAGTTCTTGACCCTAACTTCCCTCTACAAACAGTAGAGAACAGACACCAATAGAAAGGAGATTTGGGGGCTGTGTAAAATAATGGAAGGCGCTAAGAAGAATCAGACAAAAAGAATTCTGTTTTAGTGCCGCCTCTACTTCCAGGTATTTTACCAAGTCATAAACACTACTTCCTTAGTTTCTAGAGGGAGCCAGACTGGTGTTCTTTTCCGTTTAAAACTGTCTAACTTAATGGGCCCAAGTCACAAAGGCAAGAGTAATAAAGCAGAATTACCTATAAATTCCTTCCACTAGGATCAGAATTTTCTTCCAGGGCCTTCGTGTCCGGGGCTGACCATAAACAATGGCATCTTTCAATAGCTTCTCCAGGCTTTGCATATCTACAGCACATAAAAAACAAGTGTCACAAAGCATTGCCTTCTTTCCTAACTTTATCCCAGAAATGCAAATATACATTTCTTATTCAGGAAGAGTGTCTCAGACAGCAAAGAACATTAACAAGCAGAGTTGCACAGAAAAAAAAAAAGGGCAAAATAAGTGAATGACTGCCATCCCGAATTAAAATAAAAATTCAACAAATGTTGAGAAGAACCACCAAAACTTGACTGTGGCAGTTAATGTTCTTAGTTAGCATGCTTATGGAATGGCCAATATTCTATGCTAAATACCTTGTCGTTCAGTTTTAGATTTTGGGTTTTAAAGAACCAAACTGTATCCCTAATCCTAATGAGTCACTCAGAAATAAAAGTATTAAAAAGACCAAGCAAGAATGTGAATAAACTATTGAAAACAGATATACCTCCTAAAAAATGAATATGGGCATATCTGTGCATATTCAATCTCCTTAGGTCACCATCTGTGATGCCAATATCCTATGTTGGAGCACTAGTTTGAGTTATTGCTTCCGATTCAGCTGCCTGCTAATGTGCTTGGGAAAACAGCAGAGGAGAGCCCAAATGCTTGGGCCTCTCCCACCCTCATGGGAGACTGGAGAGAATTCTAGGCTCCTGGCTTTGTCCGGGCCTAGACTCTAGCCCTTACAGCCATTTGGGGAGTAAACTAGCAGATGGAAGAACTCTCTCTCTCTATCTCTTCATCTCGTCACTCTTTCAAATAAATAAAATAAATCTTAAAAAACAAACAAACAAACAAACAAACAAAAACAGGGGCTGGCGCTGTGGCCTAGTGAGTAAGGCTGCCGCCTGTGGTGCCTGCATCCCATGTGGGCGCCAGTTTGTATCCCGGCTGCTCCACTTCCAATCCAGCTTTCTGCTGTGGCCTGGGAAAGTAGTGAGGAGGGCCCAAGTCCCTGGGCCCCTGAACCCACATGGGAAGCTCGGAATAAGCTCCTGGCTCCTCGCTTCAGATCGGCATGGCCAGTTGGGGAGTGAACAAGCTGATGGAAGACCTCTCTGTCTCTGCCTCTCCTTTTCTCTCTGTGTAACTCTGACTTTCAAATAAATAAATAAATCTTAAAAAAACAGTGTACTGTCTTAGCTTCCTATGTTTACATATAAGAGGAGAAAGATAAATATTGAGGGGACTGGCACTATGGTGCAGCAGGTTAACGCCCTGGCCTGAAGCAACAGAATCCCATATGGGTGCCAGTTCAAGATCTGGCTGTCTACTTCAGATCCAGCTCTCTGCTGTGGCCTGGGAAAGCAGTGGAAGATGGCCCAAATCCTTGGGCCCCTGTATCTGCGTGAAAGACCGGGAGGAAGCTCCTGGCTCCTGGCTTCGGATTGGTACAGCTCCGGCCGTTGTGGCCAATTGGGGAGTGAACCATCAGATGGAAGACCTCTTTCTCTCTCTTTCTCTGCCTCTCCTCTATCTGTGTGTAACTCTTTCAAATAAATAAATAAATCTTACAAAAAAAGATATAAAAAAGATAAATATTGATTCAAGATTCTAGACAAAAGGAAATAACCACAGCAGAATGTCTGACTATGTTATGTACTTAAAAAAATTCACTCTCTCTCCTATATTATACATTATAACCCCAAATTCCAATATAAATTCAAATTTAAAATATAGCACAAAACTCCCAAAAGAAAATATAATACCCTTATTATCTTAGAGTGGGATAGGCATTAAGTAAAATCTGAAAGTTGTAAAATATAATAAACATTTTAATGAGTGTGCACAGTAACACACTAAAAAGGTTTAAAAAAATAAAAAAGAGTGCAACATAAAAGATAATATAAAGGACAATACAGTCAATAAAGGAGAAACAGTTTGCAAATGGCCAATTTATAAAGAAAGACCTACAAATATAATAGCTACATAAAAAGTTCTACATCTAATAAAGAAATTTAAAAACTGTATTATCTACTTATTAGATGCAAAAAGATTTTAAATGATTCATAATATTCATGTTGGCCAGTGAACAGAAATAGTCACTATCAGGTGGAGTAAAAATTGGTATAGTGCTTACAGGAAATTTGGAAAAGCATTAAAATTTATACTCTTTTAACTAGGCATTCTGAGACACTAGGAATTATAATTGTGCAAAAATATAGTGCTACTCCTACCAGAAACATTTAGAAACCACCTTAGTGTCTGAATGATGGGTTGACTTAGCTAGCAGCATTAAAGGATGAGGTGGTGTCATGTGTGCTGACAATCACCCTTCACAATGTATTTGGAGTTTAATAAGATCTAATTTACACAAAAAATCATCTGTATTCTCACTGTAGAACATACTGGACAAGAAAAAGAAAAAAACTATTACCATCCTAATCCTTACATCTAGAGGTGTGGAGCTAGTATTTTGGTACACGTTCTAGACTTTCATCTGTACCTGTAGTACTCATTTTGACAGAAGATGATATTAAACACATAGTTTGGGAGCCAGCACTGTGGCGCAGCAGCTTAACGCCCTGGCCTGAAGTCCCGGCATTCCATATGGGTGCCAGTTGGAGAGCCAGCTGCTCCACTTCCAATCCAGCTCTCTGCTGTGGCCTGGGAAAGCAGTGGAAGATGGCTCAAGTCCTTGGGCTCCTGCACCCGAATGGGAGACCTGGAAGAAGCTCCTGGCTCCTGGCTTCGGATCAGCACAGCTCCAGCCATTGAGGCCATCTGGGGAGTAAACCAGCGGACGGAAGACCTCTCTATCTCTCTCTCTGCCTCTCCTCTCTCTGTGTAACTCTTACTTTCAAATAAAAAATAGATCTTTAGCCGGCGCCGCGGCTCAGTAGGCTAATCCTCCGCCTAGCGGCGCCGGCACACCGGGTTCTAGTCCCGGTCGGGGCGCCGGATTCTGTCCCGGTTGCCCCTCTTCCAGGCCAGCCCTCTGCTGTGGCCAGGGAGTGCAGTGGAGGATGGCCCAGGTGCTTGGGCCCTGCACCCCATGGGAGACCAGGAAAAGCACCTGGCTCCTGGCTCCTGCCATCGGATCAGCGCGGTGCGCCGGCCGCAGCGCGCCGGCCGCGGCGGCCATTGGAGGGTGAACCAACGGCAAAGGAAGACCTTTCTCTCTGTCTCTCTCTCTCACTGTCCACTCTGCCTGTCAAAAAATAAAAAAAAAAAAAAAAAAAAAAAAAAAAAAAAAAAGATCTTTAAAAAAAAAAAACACATCCTCATGTGTGAGTGTTTTGACCAAGAAAGCTATGCATTTTTATAGTAAATGATAGAATAATACACAGATATATTTCCATACGGGAGAAAATCTTTTGGCTTAGTGCTTTCTTTTCCTGTGCTCTTTCAGCATCTGCTCATATTTGTGTTCCAGTGTCTGTCTCAAAGTACTGGTCTATTTATTGTCTCTTTCATTAACAAGTCAGAGATGACTCAGATTAGAGACCCTAGTATTCATCTCAATACCCTTAGTGCTATGCCAAGATACACTGCAGGCATCTAGTACATATATGTGAACAAATCAGTTGCAAACAAGGAAGAGATAGGAAACTTGAAAGTCAAATAAAAGGAGAAGATTATAGATTGTATTTTGTATGAAAGGCTTCCTTCAACCTCTATTTTTAATCCAAAAAGGAAAAGAGTAACTTTTTAAAGACTGGACCAGAAGAACATTTAAATGTTTCTACTTCTTGGGGCCGGTGCTGTAGCATGGTGGGTAAAGCCACCACCTGCAGTGCCAGCATCCCACATGGGCGTCAGTTCAAGTCCTGGCTGCTCTATTTCCGATCCAGCTCTCTGCTATGGCCTGGGAAAGCAGTAGAAGATGGCCCAGGTCCTTGGGCCCCTGCATCTGCAAGGGAGACCCGGAGGAAGCTCCTGGCTCCTGGCTTCAGATCGGTGCAGCTCCAGCCACTGCGGCCAACTGGGGAGTGAACCAGAGGACGGAAGACTTCTCTCTCTCTCTCTCTCTCTCTCTCTCAATCTCTGCCTCTCTGTAACTCTGCCTTTCAAATAAATAAATCTTTAAAAGATAAATAAATGTTGCTACTGCAGCTCTACTTGTTTTCTCAATTATTAATGTAACTAGTGTTACCACTGCCAAAGAATACTAAGCAAGAGTTAGTGGTGACTTCCATGACAAACTCACTGTTGTGTTTGAAGATCCGAATGGTTGCTCCCGACAGTCTGGCTCCCAGAACCAGTGATGCATGGTTCAGCTCATCACTCAGAATCAGGCAACCCTGCAGTCACAAGCACAAGACAGTAAGAGGCCGGGCAGAGGGTGGGGAAGGGAAGTTTAGTTATATAAATCACAAAGTATGACCATCACTAATAACTACAGCCTTTTAAGGAAAACTTGAATGACAGCGAATCCATCAATTTTTAAATAGTATGCATGACAATTTTTTAAAAAGATGTATTTATTTGAAAGGCAGAGTTACACAGAGAGAGGGACAGACAGAGAAATATTTCTCATCTGATTTCCCTCTGATGCCTTTGGTTTACTCTCCAAATGGCTGCAACAGCCAGGACTGGGCCAGGCCGAAGCCAGGAGTCAGAAACTCCATCTGGGTATCCCACAAAGATACAGGGTCCCAAGTACTTGGGTCATCCTCTACTGCTTTCCCAGGTGTTTTAGCCAGGAGCAAGATTGGAAGTGAAGCAGTGGGGACTTGAACCAAACTCATATGGTATGCTAGCACTGCAGGTGGTGGCTTAACCTGCTGTGCTACACACTGGCCCTGACAATTTTATTTTTTCAGACATCTTAGCAGTAGATGCAAAATTCTAGCCTTTTAATTTAATATCTTCAGTACTGTGACTGACTTAAATATTCAGATACATAGCAACAGGTATTTATTTATATGTAAAATTCTCATATATCAGATGGTGTTTAAAAAGTTGTGATTTCTTTGATTTAAGGGAATTCCAAATGAGTTTTTGTACACAGGGTACTGCTTAATATGGTCAGCAGCAGCTGAGAGGGTCAAGCCTTTGGAAGTGGTGTTGTGTCTCTACTACCAGCTACGCAGCATTCAGGGAGGATCCTACTTATCAAGCTTTCCCCCCACCACACTGAACATGAGCCTCAGTCTTGCCCTACGTGTTCTGAATGAGCTCTTACTTTAATGCACACAGGTTGCTGCTGAAGCGATCAGAAAAGGCTGCAGCTCTCGGTTTTTTATTCTTGCCCCCTCCCACCTGTCTCCAGTTTTTATGCTTCCATCCCTGTAACATCTGAACACAGAAACAAGTTTCTCTCTGCGAAAGATGGCTTCAAAATATCCAATTAGATAGAAAAGAGATACAGAAAACATAACACACTTCCATGAGAATAAAAGGATATATAGACACACATATGTATCTATTACAGAATATTATTGGGTGGATCCTTAAGAAATTAAAACAGCAGTTGTCTAAATTTTTACTGTGTGTACAGCTTTTATTATGAAGATACAAAAGGTACTGGTTTAAAATGTCTAGATGAAAATGAAGAAAAGTAGAGTTGGAGATATTCATATGGAGTCTTGGTTTTTAAATTTACACCTATGAGGGGTCTTTGAAACATTCTTCAAAATGTACATGGAAAAAGGTACACTACCTTTTAAAAAATTTTAAATTTATCTTCACTGTGTCTGAAAGACAGAGAGAGAAAGATATCTTCCATGTACTGGTTCACTGCCCAAATGTCCACAACAACAAGGGCTGAGCCAGGCCAAAGCTAGGAGAGGGAACTCAATCTGAGTCTCCCACACAAATAGCAGGGACCCAAGTACTTGAGCCATCACCTGCTGTCTCCCAGGGTGAGCATTAGCAGGATCCTAGACTGAAGCAGAATATCCAGGACTTAATTAGGCCCTCTGATATGGATGGAGGTGTCCCAAGTGATGATTTAATCACTGAGTCAAGCACCCATCCACTATCTTTTAATTCCAAAAGCACTTTTTTTTAAAAAAAATGTATTTATTTATTTGAAAGACATAATTACACAGAGAAAGTAAGAGACAGAGAGAGAAATCTTCTACCTGCTGGTTCACTCCCCAAATGGCTGCAATGACCAGGGCTGGGCCAGGAGGAAGCGAGGAAGCCAGGAGCCAGGAGCTTCTCCTAGGTCTCCCAGGTGGGTGCAGGGGCCCAGGGAATGGACCATCTTCTGCTGCTTTCTCAGGCTCATTAGCAGGGAGCTGGATCAGAAGTGGAGCAGCTGGGACTCAAACTGCTGCCCATATGGGATGTCAGCATTGCAGGTAGTAGCTTAACTTTGTATACCACAACACCAACCCCCACAAACTTTTTCAAGTACTCTCATCCATAGGCATATACACATACACAGGAGTATGTGTACACATGCGTTAGTGTACAAACACACATTCTCTAGCTCTATCCACTGTGGGATGAGAATTGATATCCTTGCAGCAATAATACACCTAGTTCCCAGAACTTGGTTTCTAAGCACCATTCTCCAATAAAAAGCAGCAAGGTTCCTTGGAGAACTGATTGATTGCAAACCTGGGATAGGGAAAAATAGAAGACCAGCCTGGAACATCTTATCACATCAGAAAGTATGAAAAAAGGTTGCTGGGGTGGGCACTACAGTTAAGATGCCTGCATCCCATACCAGAGCCCTCAGGCGTACAGTGGGCATTTGAGGAGTGAACCAGTGGATAGAAGATATTTCTCTCTCTTCCTTTCAAATAAATGAAAATAAATAAACTTTTTAAAAAATTGCTGCATATTCAAAGGACACAGAATCCTACCCAAATGAGCGCCCAATGGTCAAAATTAAAACAAAAAACCAATCATGTTGGATTAAACCCAAATAATAAAAGATAAATGAATTCTTACTGAGACAGAAAAATCAACAAGTTTTCATTACACACAAATTCCAAAGTACTGAAGAAATGAGAAAACTATCCATTAGAATATCAATGTCATAAGCACTACTGGCAAGATCTACAGATGCATGCTAAAGTGGGTAAAAGTTTAAAAATTCTATTTTTATAGTCCTCTGCCACAACATTTAGTAATTACAGAGGAAAAAGTAGTAAGTTTATGGTGGAAAATCCTAACAAAACCTTAGCCAAGTCATCACGATTTACATCAGCGATAACATATATCAAAGCCATGCACCTGCCAACACACAGATACAGCGAAAAGGGCATCACCTCTGTGGTATCCTTCTCAATAAGGCATGGCCACAATGAATCATGACAACACAGCAGACAAACCTGACCCTAGACACATTCTACAAAGTAAGGGACCAGTATGCCACAAGTGTCAAGCTCATTAAAGACAAGAGGAGACAGGAACCATCACAGATTGAAGAGCTACAACTAAATGAATGTGGATCCTCAAGTGGATCCTGGAACAGAAAAGAGGACATCCGTGTAAAAAGCAGTGAATACTCAATCAGTTCTGTACTTCCATTAACAGTATTCTATCAGTTAATTGCTTAGCTTTGAGACATGTTCCACTGTTATATAAGATGTTAACGTAAAAGGAAGCCTGCTGACCGGTATACAGGAACTCTGTACTGTTTGGCAACTCACCTATAAAACTAAATTGGAAAAACTGGGGGGGAAAAAAAAGAGGGGGCAGTTAGGCGAGAGGTTAAGACACCAATTAAGAACACTCATGTCCCACATCTGAACACCCGGGTTCAAGGCCCAGCTCTCGTCCCTGATTCTATTCCAGTTTCCTACAAATGCAGACCCCAGGGGGCAGCAGTGATGACTTAAGCAACAGGTGACTTCCACCAGCCACATGAAAGACCTGTTGAGTTCCTGGCTACTACCAGTTTTGGATTGGCCCAATACCAGCCATTGCAGGCAACTGGGCAGTGAGTTCCCTTTGTCTCTCCAACAAATAAAGAAAATTTCTAAAAAATATTCCTATAGGGGAAAAAATCAAAAGCAAGGGAAAAAATAAAGAGAAGTTGCATTTCTCTTCTGTAAGTCTTACTACACCTCAAAAGAATCCTTCCCCCTCTCTCCCTCCAAAAATAATTTCAATTTCTTCTTCCAACTAAATTATTTTTCTGGCAAAATCTGTAATATCATTATGTTCTTTTTATCACTTCTTTTTGAGACAGTTTTATTCAACATTTCTGTTATCAACCTGGGTTTGTTTGTTTGTTTGTTTTCCCCCTCATAAGCTATTCCTTGGTTCAAAAATAAATTCTGAATATCAGCGGTTCACAGCAAAGAGCTCTATATGTCGCAGGCTTCATTGCCAAGGGGTTTAAGTGCGTGATTACTTATGTGATCATCCCACGCTGCATTTGAGGAAGCCATCATTCAGGACGTTGAAACCCTGCTCATGGTCACAAGTCAGTGACTCAGCACAAAGCCTACCCCACTCTTCGCCAGTACCCTGTATCCCTTCATGTTTACCATGGACAACCACCTCATATAGACATACAGCATCAGACTCAAAGAGTGATTAAAACCACATTACTTTCTGCATTTAACAAAGTAATGACCTAATAAATATCACTGCAGCTTTAAGGTTTGATTTAGGAGACAAATCTTCAAAAGCAGTAACCTCACATGTTTGTAAAGAAAAAATTTTAGTTCTAGATAATGATTTGTTAGTATTCATGAGTTAAGAGGGAGAAGCTAGATGATGTCACTCAATCCTCTCGTGTAAAAAGTTCTAAGAAATTCCAAATAAAAGCTTAAGGTTAATACTGCCAAAATGTAGGACAACAATGTATTACAGTCAATGTGTGAAAGCAAAGAACCACACAGTTCTGTCTGCCAAAGAATTTGTCCACCATACCCAAGTTGTAGAATTTATTAACATAAAGTTGTTCTTAAAGTTTCCTTAGTAATCCTTCAATCTCCACAGTACCTATAGTGACAGCTCCTCTCTCATTCAGGTTACTAGCAATTTGTGTCTCCTCTTTTTTTTTTTTTTTTATTCTGACCAGTCTGGTTAAAGATTTACCAATTTGGGGCCAACACTGTGGCATAGCAGGTAAAGCTGTCACCTGCAGTGCAGGCATCCCATATGGATGCCAGTTCTAGTCCTGGATGCTCCTCGTCCGATCTAGCTCTCTGCTATGGCCTGGGAAAGCGGTAGAAGATGGCCCAAGTCCTTGGGCCCCTGCACCCGTGTGGGAGACCCAGAAGAAGCTCCTGGCTTCAGATCAGCCCAGCTCCAACCATTGTGGCCATTTGAGGAGTGAACCAGTGGATGGAAGATCTCTCTCTCTCTCTCTCTCTCTGCCTCTGTAATTCTTCCTTTCAAATAAATAAATATTTTTAAAAATGTATCAATTTACTCATTTTTTCAAAGAATCAGCTTTGGTTTCACTGATTGACTATTATCTATTTTCTAATTCCTGGATTTCTGAATTTATCTTTACTATATATATATATATATATATATATATTTTTTTTTTTTTTTTTTTTTTTTGGACAGGCAGAGTTAGACAGTGAGAAAGAGAGAGACAGAGAGAAAGGTCTTCCTTCCGTTGGTTCACTCCCCAAATGGCTGCTATGGCCTGTGCACTGCGCCAATCTGAAGCCAGGAGCTAGGTGCTTCCTCCTGGTCTCCCATGCGGGTGTAGGGCCCAAGGACTTGAGCCATCCTCCACTGTCTTCCCAGGCCACAGCAGAGAGCTGGACTGGAAGAGGAACAACCGAGACAGATTTCGGCACCCCAACCGAGACTAGAACCAGGGTACTGGCGCCGCAGGTGGCGGATTAGCCCAGTGAGCCATTGCGCCGGCCACAATATTTTTCCTTCTACTTAATTTGGGTTTAATTTACTGTTTTAAAATATTTCTTAAAGTAGAAGCTTTGTTTTCTTTTTTAAAAATTTTTATAGAAAACTTTTATTTAATAAATATAAATTTCGGGCCGGCGCCGCGGCTCACTAGGCTAATCCTCCGCCTAGCGGCGCCGGCACACCGGGTTCTAGTCCCGGTTGGGGCGCCGGATTCTGTCCTGGTTGCCCCTCTTCCAGGCCAGCTGTCTGCTGTGGCCAGGGAGTGCAGTGGAGGATGGCCCAGGTGCTTGGGCCCTGCACCCCATGGGAGACCAGGAAAAGCACCTTGCTCCCTGCTCCTGCCATCGGAATCCCCGGTGCGCCGGCCGCAACGTGCTGGCTGCGGCGGCCATTGGAGGGTGAACCAACGGCAAAGGAAGACCTTTCTCTCTGTCTCTCTCTCTCTCACTGTCCACTCTGCCTGTAAAAAAAAAATAAATAAATAAAATAAATAAATAAATAAATAAATAAAAATTTCGAAAGTACAACTTTAGGATTATACAGGTTCTTTCCCCCCAACCACCCTCCCACCCCCAAACTATGCCATCTCCTACTCCCTCTTCCATCTCATTCTTCATTAAGATTCATTTTTAATTACCTTTATATACAGTAGATCAACTCTATACTAAGTAAAGATTGCTACAGTTTGCACCCACACAGACACACAAAGTATAAAGTACTGTTTGAAGACTAGTTTTACTGTTAATTCTCATAGTACAAAACATTAAGGACAGAGGTCCCATATGGGGAGCATGTGCACAGTGACTCCTGTTGTTGATTTAACAATTGATACTCTTAGGAGCTTTGTTTTCTTAATGCAAATATTTAATGCTATACATTTACATCTGAGCATTGTTTTACCTTCATCCTACAAATTTTGATATATTACATTCTCAACTACTGTAGAATAATTCCTATTTTGCCTTATTTTTTTCTTCTTTGGTCCCTAGGTTATTTAGAAGAATGTGGCTTAATTTTCAAATACTAAAGGATTTCCAGATATCCTTGTGTTGCTGATTTTTTAAAATACTTTGAATAATCTTAACACTTTTCAATTTATTTTTTATATATTTTTTATTTTATTTGACAGGTAGAGTTATAGACAGTGAGAGAGAGAGAGAGAGAGAGAAAGGTCTTCCTTCCGTTAGTTCACCCCTCAAATGGCTGCTACATCTGGTGCTGCGCCAATCCGAAGCCAGGAGCCAGGTGCTTCTTCCTGGTCTCCCATGAGGGTGCAGGGGCCCAAGCACTTGGGCCACCCTCCACTGTCCTCCTGGGCCACAGCAGAGAGCTAGACTGGAAGAGGAGCAACTGGGACTAGAACCTGGTGCCCATATGGGATGCTGGCACCGCAGGTGGAGGATTAACCAAGTGAGCCACAGTGGCGGCCCCAATACTTTTAAATTTATTAAATCTTGTTTAAGGGGCCGGTGCTGTGGTGCAGTAGGTTAATTCCCTGCCTGAGGCGCTGGCATCCCATATGGGCGCTGGTTCTAGTCCCGGCTGCTCCTCTTCCAATCTAGCTGCCTGCTACCACCCGGAAAAGCAGTGGAGGATGACCCAAGTGCTTGGGCCCCTGCACCCATGTGGGAGACCCGGAAGTTGTTCCTTGTTCCTGGCTTCGGATCGGCTCAGCCTCAGCCACTGCAGCCATTTGGGGAGTGGACCAGTGGATGGAAGACCTCTGTCTATACCACTTACTGTCTGGAACTATGCCTCTCAAATAAATAATAAATAAAATCTTCAAAAAAAAAACTTGTTTAAATGTCTAGAATATGATCTATCTTGGTAAATGTTCAGCTTTTATTGGGTGAAATGTTTCATTAATGTCAATTAGGTCAACTGATTCAATGTTCTAGTGTTCTATATTCTTACTGATTATCTGTTTTTTATTTATTTATTCATTTATTTGAAAGGCAAGGTCAGAGAGAGAGAGAGAGAGAGAGAGAGAAGGAGAGAAGGAGAGAAGGAGAGATGTAGAGAGATCTTCTATCTGCTGGTTCACTTCCTAAATGGTGACAATAGTAGGGGCTGGGTCAGGCCGAAGTCAGGAGCCTGGAACTCCCCATCAGGGTATCTCATTAGCAGGGAGCTGTATGAGAAGTAGAGAAGCTGGGACTTGAACCAGCACCCATATGGGATGCTGGTATCATAGGTGGCAGCTTAACTCGTTTGAGTCACAGCACCAGCCCAGATGATAATCTCTAATTAAAATTCCATACCTGTTTACCTCTTTCAGTTTCATCAACTTTAGCTTCAAGTACTTTGAAGCTGAATTAGGTGCCTACACTTAAAATAAGTCCTCCTGAAGAGTTTACTTTTTTTTTTTTTTTTACAATATACTTATTTGAAAGGCAGAGTTACAGACAGAAAGAGAGAGGAAGAGAGAAAGATCTTCCATCTGCTGGTTCATTCCTCAAATTGCCACAAATGCTAGGGCTGGGCTGATCTGAAGCCAGGAGCCAAGAGCTTCTTCCAGGTCTCCCACGCGGAAGAAGGGGCCCAAGCACTTGGGCCATCTTCCACTGCTCCCCCAGGCCATTAGCAAGGAGCTGGATCAGAAAAAGAGCAGCTGGGTCTCGAACCGGCAACCATATGGGATGCTGGCACTGCAGGCAGAAGGCTTAACCTACTATGCCACAGCACCAGCCCCAAGAGCTAACTCCTTTATCATGGTACAATATTCTTATTTATCTCTAGGAATATTCCTTGTTCTGAAATCTTTATGGTTTGCAGGCTGTGTCTTTTTCTATGCTTTTAACTTCTGTGCCTTCCTATTTAAAATATATTCCTATTCTATATTAGAAAACCTACTTAAATTTTATTTAATCTGACAATCTTTGCCTTACAATTAAATGTATAAACAACTTACATTTAATGTGGTACTAATATAAATGGGTTTAAATTCCTCCTATCTTGCTATCTGTTTTCTATTTGTCTCATCTATTCTTCACAGAACTATATATTTGTATAACTGAAAAAGACTTTAGAATTAACCTAACTCAACCACCTCACTACGCAAGGAAATCTGAAAGACCAGAAAGGTTCTTTTACACACTTGCAGAAACATAGCTAAGTGTGAGCCATCTAACCAATCAACAAACGAATACATCTCTTTTTTTTTTTTTTTTTTTTTTTGGACAGGCAGAGTGGATAGTGAGAGAGAGACAGAGAGACAGAGAGAAAGGTCTTCCATTTCTGTTGGTTCACCCTCTAATGGCCACTGCGGCCGGCGTGCTGTGGCCAGCACACTGAGCTGTTCTGAAGCCAGGAGCCAGGTGCTTCTCCTGGTCTCCCATGCGGGTGCAGGGCCCAAGCACTTGGCCCATCCTCCACTGCCTTCCCGGGCCACAGCAGAGAGCTGGACAGGAAGAGGAGCAACCAGGATAGAATCCGGCGCCCCGACCGGGACTAGAACCTGGTGTGCCGGCGCCGCAGGCGGAAGATTAGCCATTGCCCTTTCATTATCCGATCCTAGATATCAATGTTAGAATCATAATTCTAGCTTTTAACAGGTTTTATTTATCAGAATTTCTTCAAAACTCTGAATGAAACAAAGTCAATAACCATCCAAATGATGCAAGTCTCCAAGGGAAACACTCACTTAAGCATTTCTGATAGATATATCTTTGGGTAAAATACTGTTAGTCTAAAGTTCATAATACTTGCTCTGAATGCTCTTCAAAACAAAAGAGGATTCATACAAGAGAGTTTTCACAAATTATTCTCTTACTTTGCCAACAAGAGCAGGAATGTTCATTGAGTTTGTTGCAAATCCCATGCCATATGTCATAGCAGCTTCCACTCCCAAAAATCTTGCTACAAGTTTCTCTAGTTCTTCATGTTTGTCCAGGTTTCCTGTGTGAAGTTAACAAAGTCAGGATCATGAAATTCTGACCATAAGAATTACTCATTTATGCTGCGGCCTTTATGAAGCCCTCCCAAGATGCAGAATCACAAGCAAATAAACCTCTGTTGTTTTAAATCATTAAGTGCTGTGATCGCTTGTTACACAACACGAGGCAGGTAAGGAGCACTTTCAGGGTGAGTGCTGCAGTGTGTCGGGTTAAGCTGCAGCTTGCAATGCTCACATCTATGCTGGAGAGCAGGCTCAAGACCTGGCTGCTTCACTTCCAATCAGCTTCCTGCTAACGAACCTGGGAAGGCAGAGGGTGATGGCCCAAGTACATGGGTTCCTGCCACCAATAAGGGAGACCCAGATGGAGTTCCTGGCTCCTGACTTAATTCTGGACCACTACCAGCTATTGCTGGCATTTGGGAAGTAAACCAACAGACATAACATCTCTCTGCCTCTCCCCCCTACCTTTGCTCCTTTTCAAATAAATAGATCTTTTAAAAGAAAAGGTAAAAAAGAAAGCACTTTCCTTCACTATGATCTTCCTGATAATTCTGTACTGTGATTTTATATTGGCATTCAAATCCTTACAGGATAAACAACACTGCAGAAAGAAAAGAGGTTGAGAAAGAAGACTGCTGAATTTGGATGCTATGTGTCCTTCAGGCTTAGTCAAATTCCTTGTAACCTCTCTGGGCTTTTATTATCTACTAAATTTCTTTATTAAAATTATTTATTTATTTGAAAGGCAGGGAGACACAGAAACATCTCTCATCTACCAGTTCACTTCCCAAATACTCTCAACAGCTGAGCTAGGACAAAGTCAGGAGCTAGAAACTCAATCTGGGTCTCCCAGGTGGATGACAGGGACCTAACCACTTGAGCTATCTCCTAAGGTGTGCATTAGCAGGAAGTAGGAATGGAGAAGAGAACCAGGACTTGAACCCAGGCACTGGTATGGGATGCAGGTAACCCAACTGACCTCTAAACCAGTGTAACAACTCCCTATCTGCAAAATTTTAATGCCTACCTAACTCATAACACTCTGAGGATCAAAAGATAATATGTCCAAGCAATTCATAAGTTACAAAGTGCCTTAAAGATATAAGATGATGTATGTCACCACTCCACAATGCTCCTTCAACTGTTTCATTAGATCATATGGTCTGTGATGGGGCTCACCACTGTCTCACAGTGGGTTAAGCCACCACTTACAATGGCATCCCATGTCGAGTGCTGGTTCACAGTCCCTACAGCTCCACATCCGCTTCAATGCTAATATGCCTGGGAAAGCAGCAGAGGATAGTCCAAGGTCTTGGACCTCTTCCATCCATGTGGGAGACCAGAATGCAGGTAATCTGTTGCAGCCACATGGGGAGTAAGCCAGAAGTTGGAGAATTTTTCTCCATCTCTCCCTCTCTAAATCTTAAAAAAAAAAAAGGGGGGGGGGGCTGTGATTTCTGATGTGTCTACTAGCTGTTGTTTTTTTTTTTTAAACTTATTTATTTAATTATTTGAAAGTCAGAGTTATACACAGAGAGAAGAGGAGGCAGGCAGAGAGAGAGAGAGAGAGAGAGAGGGAGGGAGAGAGAGGTCTTCCATCCACTGGTTCACTCCCCAATTGGCTGCAATGGCCAGAACTGTGCCGATCCGAAGCCAGGATCCAGGAACTTCTTCCTGTTCTCCCACTTGGGTGCAGGAGCCCAGGGACTTGCGCCATCTTCTACTGCTTTCCCAGGCCACAGCAGAGAGCTGTATCAGAAGTAAAGCAGCCGGGTCTTGAGCCGGTGCCCATATGGGATGCTGGCACTGCAGGCAGCGGCTTTACCCACTACACCACAGTGCCAGCCCCTAGATGCTATTTTAAAGATGCGGGGATTAAGTCATCCTGGTCTGGCTGAAAAGCCCATGAGAACATTTCAGGCACGGAAAGCCAAGACACTGTGGCAAAAAATGTTCTACATGAAGGATCTCTGTGAGCATGACCCCAGTGGAAAGAAGTGGCTATCAAAGAAGGAAGTACTTTTCTCTGAAGGGAGGAGAGAACTACTTTGCTTATGGCCTTGTCTGAATACCGTCAAGTTTGTGGATTCAAAAGGCTTCCATAGCCTTGGCAGCTCTGTCAAAATCACTGACATCATACATGAGAGTGTTAATTGTTAAATTAATAACAGGAGTCACTGTGTACTAACTTCCCATGCTGGACCTCTGTCCTCAAAGAGTTGTATTATGAGAGTTAACTGTAAAACTTGTTCTCAAACAGTTTGTGTGTGTGTGTGTGTGTGTGTGTGTGCAAATTTTTGAAATCTTTACTTAGTATAGAGTTGGTCTTCTGTGTATAAAGTTAATTGAAAATAAATCTTAATAGAGAATGGGACTGGGAATGAGAAAGGGAGGAGGTGGAGGTGTAGGAGTGTGGGTGGGAGGGCAGGTATGCGGGGAAGAATAACTATATTCCTAAAGTTATATTTATGAAATTTGTATTCCGGAAATAAAAGGTTTCCTTGGGGGGAAAAGGAAAAGATGGGGGGATTAAAATGTTGTACTTTCAGTTTCCTTTTGGAAATTATCACAAAACAATGGAAAGAACAAGAAATAAAACATAGAGCTCAATTTTTTATTAACTAGCAGATATCAGTAAATCCTCAATACAATTAATGTAAAGGAAAATTCACAATAATAAGATGTCATGAGTTGAACTGTATTCTACCAAAATGACCCCCCATCTCCTCAGACTGACACCTTCTTTAGAATTAGGGTTGGAGGTCATTCAGCAGTGCAAATGTCCTTACAAAAGGGGGAAATCTGGATGCAGAAACACAAAGGGAGCACAGAAGACAATGTTGGACACACTGGAACATGGCCACGTGACAGGAGTGACACATCTATAAGCCAAGAGAAGCCAAGAACTGCTAACATGAGAAGGAAGGGAGGTGCTGGGGTGAGAGCATGGCCCTGCTGCCGCCTTGACCCCAGACTTCCAGCCTCCTACATTTCTGCTGTGTTTTAAGTCACCCAGTTTCTGGTACTTTGTTACTGCTGTCCCAGGAAGCTAATATAGATGGTAAATGACTTCAAGTCAGAAAAAGGACGTTATCCTGGGGCCAGTGCCGTGGCACAGTGGGTTAACACCCTGGCCTAAAGCACCGGCATCCCATTATGGATACCGGTTTGAGACTCGGCTGCTCCACTTCTGATCCAGCTCTCTGCTATGGCCTGGGAGAGCAGAAGAAGACGGCACAGGTGCTTGGGCCCCTGTACCCACGTGGGACACCTGGTCCTGGCTCCTGGCTCCTGGCTTAGGATCGGCACAGCTCCGGCTGCTGCGGCCAATTGGGGAGTGAACCATCAGATGGAAGACCCCTCTCTCCCTCTCTTTCTCTATCTCTGTGCCTCTCTTCTCTCTGTGTAACTCTGACTTTCAAATAAATACATAAATCTTAAAAAAAAAAAAAAAGGAAAAGGATGTTATCTATAAGTGGGATTCAAAGAGAATCAAATAAATTCATTGCATGGAACCATGGAGGGGATTAAAAGATGAGGCAACAGTCATCAGAGTAGGCAAGGGTTAAGGCCGGGCTACAAACAAAATGACTGTTTGAAGGATATTAGAAACAGACATGAGCCCTCATACATTGCTGATTAAACTGTAAAAGGACATGGCTACTATTCTGTTTTGGAAAACAGTTAAGCAATTTCTCAAAAAATTAAATATACAGTTACCATATGACCTAACAATTCTACTCCTAAGTATATACTCAAGAGAAATGAAAAGATGTATCATAAAAGAAGTTGTACACCCGTGTTCACAGCAGTTATTCACAACAGCCAAAAAGTAGAAACAATTCAAATGTCCAGCAAGTGAAAAATGGATAAACAGATGTGTTTTACTTACAGAATGATCATTTGGCCATGAAAAAGAATGGAGTGTTGGCATTACGAGGCTGAATCTTGGAAATATTATGCTAAGTGAAAGAAGCCAGACATAAAAGACTACAACATTATATGATGCCATTAATATGAAATACCCAAAATAGGCAAATTCATAAAGACAGAAAGATTACTGGTTGCTGGAAGGTTGGAGAAGGAGGAAAGGGCTGAGTGACTGCTAATGGATAGCGGGTTTCTTTCTTTCTTTCTTTCTTTCTTTTTTTTTAAGATTTATTTATTTATTTGAAAGGCAGAGTTACAGAGAGGCAGAGACAGAGAGAGAGAGAGGTCTTTCATTCGCTGGTTCACTCCCCAGATGGCTGCCATGGCCGGAGCTGCACTGATTGGATGCCAGGAGCTTCTTCCAGGTCTCCCACGTAGGTGCAGGAACCTAAGGACTTGGGCCATTTTCTACTGCTTTCCCAGGCCATAGCAGAGAGCTGGATTAGAAGAGAAGCAGCTGGAACATGAACCAGTACCCATATGGGATCCCAGCGCTGCAGGATGAAGCTTGGCCTACCACACCACAGCACCAGCCTTGAAATTTAAAGGAGTGGATTCAGGTGGGCATTTGGCATAGTGATTAAAACCTTCTTGGGATGCTTGTATCCCATAATGGAATGCTTGGATTCATGTCCTAGCTCCATTTATGATTCTTGATTCCTGCTAATGAAGATCTTGGGAGGCAGCAAGTGACAGCTCAGACTTGGGTCCCTGGCTCTGGATTTTGGCCTATCTTAGCCCCAACTGTTGAGAACATTTGGGGATTGAATAAGAGGACGACAAATCTCCCTGTCCATCTCTTTTCTCTGCCTGTTTAGTTTGTAAATTATATTCAATAAAGCTGTCAAAAGAGAGGAAGAAACAGTAACAGAGACCCTGCCCCATCCTCACATCCAGCCAAGCAGGCAGGTAGTTTTGCCTTCTCCTATCTCCACGAGTAGAAGACACAGTATATAGTCTGGACTCAGACACTAGATGAAAGAGTCTGAATAGGCGGTGACAGATTAAAAATATTAATTAAGGGAGAGTTTACATAGAAGGTTTACACTAAATCTCTCAGAAACAAAAACAAAAATGAAAGACAGAGAAGACAATCAGAGGACAAATACTAAAGGTCTATAGGCAGGATTTCTTGAAAGAGAAAACTGAGAAAATGCTTAAGTATCTCAGAACCAGAGGACCTGATTCTATGATTCTGAAGATTCACTAAGCACCAAACTAGCACAAGATGCACACTAAGGCACAAACAAAATTTCCTGATGCAGTCAAAGAGACAGCATGTCTTGAAAGTTTCCACAAGGATAGTCTTATGTCTCATAGTTACTTCTAAGTGCTTGCAAACGATGTATCATTCTTGGGGTTCTTTTTTAATTAAGTTTCTTGAAAAAAAAAAAAAAGCTTAAAAAAATGAAATTACCTTCAAGGTACAATGACTCTGAGTAGCCCTTGTTTCGACTGTTGAGGAACAATTTTTTTTCCCCCACACAATTTGTTGAACTCTTTAAAAAAAAAAAGTTTCCACAAAAGGACATGCACAGACAAATCAGAAGTGGTTCATGACTATAGCAGAAGGAACTGAGTGAACAGACAATGAATAGGAAACAGATTTTTCATTGCACGCCTTTTTGAACTCTATTATTGACAATATTTTTTATTACCTACCTCCCCTAAAGGTTTTTAAACAATAAAACCTTTCAAAGAGAAGGTACAATAGGAGGGATGACATACACAGGAATGGTGATCAGAACTGCACTATACTATGGACCAGCACCTCTGGGTGCCAGAGGACCTATAATACTGCCAGAATTATTAATCAAGCAATATAACAGATCAAAGAAATATTTAAGATTTATTCATTTATTTGAAAGAATGACAGAGAAAGAGAGAGAGAGAGAGAGAGAGTTTCCATGTACTGGTTCATTCCTCAACTGGTCACAATGGCAGGGGCTGGGCCTGGCTGAAGCCAGAGCCCAGAACTCCATTAGGGTCTTCCACATGGGTGCAAGGACCCAAGTACTTGTGCTGTCACCTGCTGATTTCCCAGGTGAATGGGAGGGAGCTGGGTAAGAAGCAGAGCAGTTGGGACTGGAACCAGCACTCCAGTATGGGATGCCAGCATAGCAAGTGGTAGCTTAACATACCACACCACATTGCTGGCACAAAGACAACAATCTGATATCCGAAACTATAAAACAAATTCAAACACTGTGTGTCCCTGCATTACTAGGAAAGTAGTGGAGAGTGAGCTCCATCAGTGTGAGGGAATATGTCAAGAACGAAGAAGAGAGGGGGGTGTTGTGGCACAGAAGGTTAAGTCACTGCTTGGGAGGCCTACATCCCACATTAGAGTGCCTGGGATCAAGTATTGTCTTTGCTTCTGATCTAGCTTCCTGCTACTGTACTCCCTGGGAGGCAACAGATGTGGCCCAAGAATGTGGGTCCCTACCAACTACATGGGAAACTTTGATGGAGTTCTTGGCTCCTAGCTCTGGCCTGGCCTAGCCCTGGCTATGGTGGGCATTTGGCTAGTAGGGCACTCTGCTGTTCAAATAAATAAAAAATATACTTAAAAAAAAAAAAAAAAAGGAAGCAACATTTAGAAGAAAAAAAAAAGGAGAAGTGAGAAAGAGGAAGCTATGAGATACAGGAAATAAAAGAATTGAAACGGGAGGAAAAGGAAATTTCTAACCTGACCACCTCACCCCAATTAAAGAAGTACCAGAATGCTGCATATAGTGGTCCTGAGAGCAAGAAGCCCTAAAGAGCAGCCAGTCCAAACTGAAGAAGGGGGTGGGATGAAATTACATTAAAGGAAGGCTGTAACATACCCAGGAGACCAAAAAAAAAAAAAATCAGGATCTTAAGTCACTTTCTCCTAGAAAGTACCCAATAGTCTTTATCTAAGAATTTAAGATGGGGGCGAAGGTCCAACCAAGGCCCCTATGGCATTAAATTGGTAATGGAGGAATGGAAACCTTCATGATATAGCTACAAGGTACTCTTTAGGTAACTGCAAAAGACTAGCTCATTTCTTACTGAGTTATTCTAGGTCCAAACTTTCAAAAACTTGACTTTCTGGATCAAAATCTTGAATACTACATGCACTATATAAGCTTTAAGAATTGAGCCCAAATACTTACTTTCAATCTTTAAAAAAAAATAAATGTATCATATTGCTCGGGTACCACAACAGGTACCACAACAGGTACCCAGGATATTATGGGAGCTAAGAAAATTTATACTAGTCCATTTCTACTGTTTAAAAGAAACAGGGGTTCGGCACCATGGCTTACTTGGTTAATCCTCTGCCTGTGGTGCCGGCACCCCACATGGGCACCGGGTTCTAGTCCCAGTTGCTCCTCTTCCAGTCCAGCTCTCTGCTGTGGCCTGGGAAGGCAATGGAGGATGGCCCAGGTGCTTGGGTCCCTGCACTCACATGGGAGACCAGGAAGAAGCACCTGGCTCCTGGCTTCAGATCGGTGTAGAACCGGCTGCAGCAGCCATTTGGGGAGTGAACCAACCGAAGGAAGACCTTTCTCTCTGTCTCTCTCTCTCTCTCTCTCACTGTCTGTAACTCTGTCAAAAAAAAAGTATTAAAAAAAAAAAAGAAAAGAAATGCGCTGGTTGCAATGCCAGCATCCTATAAGTGTGCCAGTTTGAGGCCTAGTTGCTGTACTTCGGATCCAACTCCCTGCTAATGGCCTGGGAAGCATCAGAAGATGGCTCAAGTGCTTAGGCCCCTACAGCTACATGGGAGACCTAGGTGAAGCTCCTGGCTCCTGGCTTCGGCCTGGCCTAGCCCTGGCCATTGCAATCATTTGGGGAATGAACCAGTGGGTGGAAGATCTCTATCTCTCCCTCACTCTAACTCTATTTTTAAATAAATAAATAAATCTTTTAAAAAATTAAAGAAACAGGACAGAAGCCCTATTAAAATTTGGGAAACAAATAAACTTTAACATATTCTAACTCTTACCAGAATTAATTTTTTAAAAAATTATCTTATTTATGTGAAAAGCAGAAAGAGAATAAAGGGGAGGGGGGGAGAGAGAGAGAGAGAGAGAGAGAGAGAGATATCTTTCATCTACCGGACAGATTTTCCATCTGCAGATTCAATCTCCAAATGCCTACAAAGGTCAGGGTTAGACCAGGTCAAATCCAGGAAGCAGGAATCCCATAGAGGTCTCCTATAAGAGACATCACCTGCTGCCTCCCAGGGCACAAGCTAGCAGGAATCTGGAATTGAGAACAAAGCCAAGACCTGAATCTAAGCACTCTGAAATGTGATGTGGGCATCCCAAGTAGTATCGTCCACTATGCCAAACACCCACCCCTGGAGTTCACTTGTAATCAGAATTTCCTTTAAAAAGTAACTCTGGGGGTTGGTGTTGTGGTGCAGTGGGTTAAGTTGCTGACTCTGACAGCTGCATTGCACACTGTGCCAGTTCAAGTCCTGGCGGCTCCACTTCCCATCCAGCGCCCTGCTAATGTGCCTGGGAAAGAAATGTAGGATGGCCCCAGTACATGAGTTCCTGCCACCCATATGGGAGACCTGTCTGGAGTTCCTGGCTCCCAGTTTCAGCCTGCCCAGCCCCAGCTGTTGCAGCCACCTGGGGAGTGGCTCGCTCTCTCTGTCACTCTTTGAAATAAACAAATCTTTTTAAAAAGCTGTTAATTCCTTACAATTACAGAGCTGTAGAAATAAAAGAGTTTATATTCATTATCTTCTATTTCCTAACTGCTTCACAGGAATTAGCTTATTTAATTCTATATAAGGCAAGAATTATTAGTGCAAATTTAGCAGTATGAAAACAGCTTAATCCTCATGTGCCAATGCACTAGTAAGTGGTACTCTTAACAACTGTCATTTGCAAATCAACATTAAAGTTATAAATGAAATTCTAATGGAACTTTTCCAGAGACACTCAAAACACGGTGAAAGCATGGGAATCATCCATCACTTCAGGAAAAGAAAACATTCTTTCTTTTTTTTAATTTATTTATTTGAAAGGCAGAGTTACAGAGAGAGAGAGAGGCAGAGGCAGAGAGAGAGAGACAGAGAGGTAGAGAGAGATCTTCCATCCAATGGTTCATTCCCCATATGGCTGGAACAACCAGAGCTGGAGCTGGACTGACCTGAGGCTAGGAGTCAGGAGCTTCTTCTGGGCCTTCCACGCACGAACAGGGGTCCAAGGACTTGGACCATCTTCCACTGCTTTTCCAGGCACATCAGCAGGCAGCTGGACTGGAAGCGGAGCAGCCAGGACTCAAACTGGCGCCCATATGGGATGCTGGTACTGCAGGTGGCAGCTTAACCAGCTATGCCACAGAGCCAGCTCCGGGAAAACATTCTTTACTTAATCTAAAACTACATGATAAACTAAGTGTTTGGATATTTACTGCCTTAGCTCCATATTGGTATTATTCACACCCAAATAAAAAAGTCCCAAACAGCAGCTGGCCAAACACAGGTTAACACTTACCGATTTCCTGCCGAGTGCTGCACACTCCAACTCCATACTCCTCTAGAACTTTGGCAGCTGCTTCTTGACATGATCCAGTATTCCGGGCAAATCCAAGATAGTTGTAGGAACCCATGTTTATAACACCTTTGATTATATTCCCTGTATACCTGTGATTCAAAAGCATAAAACTCAAACTCATGAGCAACCAAATACTTAAATGTGATAGTAAATGCACTGGTAACACAAATGGAAGCTCTATATACAGGAACAAATTAGGGATTTAGAAGTTAAATACCAATTTTCACTTATAAACAGTGATAAAAACTTGAAAACTGATGATCCCTAGTGTTGGCCAAGAGAGTCTCATAAACTGCAGATACAAAATCACTTCTGTTTTAGAGAGCAGTGTGGCAGTACTTAATCATTAAGGTAAGTCACATTCTTTGATTCAGCAATTCCCACACAAACATATTTGAGGACCCTTTAAGAGCCATTGTACCTTTTGTTCCATTCCTTCCCTGGGCATGGGGACCAGTGATATTCAACATGACAGAAGCCCAATCAACATGGGCCTCCAAGTGAGGATAACACAGGTCAGAAGCCCCACAGGGGCCGGTGCTGCGGTGCAGCAGTTAAGTTGCTATCTTCTGTGCCAGCATCCCATATGGGTGCCAGTTCAAGTCTCCGCTGTTCTACTTCCAATCCGTCTGCCTGCTAAGGTGCTTGAGAGGGCAGCAGAAGATGGATCAAGTGCTTGGATTCCTACACCCATTTGGGAGACACGTATGAAGCTACTTCCTAGCTTTGGTCTGTCTGGCCCAGCTCTGGTCGTTGCGGCCATTTGGAGAACGAACCAACAGATGGAAGAACTCGCTGTAATTCTGACTTTCAAATAAATAAATTAATTTAAAAAAAAAAAAGCCCCAGGAGCCTAAGAAGATCATGAAGTGTGGACCCGAAATAAACTGCTGTCATTTAACACCCTAGGATTTGGGAGTCATTAACAAGGATGAAGAGCCCAACCTGCCATCCTATGGTATATCTAAACTGCAGAATACTGTTTGTCACCACAAACAATGAACTTTCTTTTTTCTTCTTTTTTTGACAGGCAGAGTTAGACAGTGAGAGAGAGAGACAGAGAGAAAGGTCTTCCTCTTTTTTTTTTTTTTTTTAATTTTTTTTTGACAGGCAGAGTGGACAGTGAGAGAGAGAGACAGAGAGAAAGGTCTTCCTTTTGCCGTTGGTTCACCCTCCAATGGCCGCCGCAGCCGGCGCGCTGTGGCCGGCGCACCGTGCTGATCTGAAGGCAGGAGCCAGGTGCTTCTCCTGGTCTCCCATGGGGTGCAGGGCCCAAGCACTTGGGCCATCCTCCACTGCACTCCCTGGCCACAGCAGAGAGCTGGCCTGGAAGAGGGTCAACTGGGACAGAATCCAGCGCCATGACTGGGACTAGAACCCGGTGTGCCAACACCACAAGGCGAAAGATTAGCCTAGTGAGCTGCGGCTCCGGCCCAGAAAGGTCTTCCTTCCATTGGTTCACCCCCAATGGCCGCCAAGGCCGGTGCTGCGCCGATCTGAAGCCAGGAGCCAGGTGCTTCCTCCTGGTCTCTCATGCGGGTGCAGGGCCCAAGCACTTGGGCCATCCTCCACTGCCTTCCTGGGCCACAGCAGAGAGCTGGACTGGAAGAGGAGCAACCAGGACAGAACCGGCACCCCAACCGGGACTAGAACCCAGTGTACTGGCACTGCAGGCAGAGGATTAGCCTAGTGAGCTGTGGCACCAGCCACAATGAACTTTCTGTGACTGTCCACACTACAAAGATGTTACCGGTATTTCACCAAGTAAATAACCTATGCTATAATTTATAGGCATATGGTATGATCTCATTTTGTAAATTAAGAAACGATCTGTGTATAATAGAGTGAATCATTCTCTATCTGCCTTTCAAATATATAATTTTTTTAAAAAGAAACAATTCCCCAATGAGACTCACTTGAATGACCAGTTATAATCATGAGATTGTCTCTCCATGATGTCCACCTTGGCTCCAGGCACACTGCAGATTGGCCGATTCCAGTTGTCTCTGATCCTCATGTAAAGATTCCTTGTATAGAAGTTTTCGAAATCCTGATACAATGACACAAAGTCCTGCCAACAAATGGTAAATACTATAAATTTAACTGAATTGCTTTGTGAATAAATTTGACAATTTCCTTTTTCATTTTGTAAGAACACTTGAGACTTCAATTAAGTAATACATCAGGAAAACATTTGGAAAGGCATCAATTCTTTATGCTTAACACAATTCTTATTAACCAAGTCAAGTCACTTGACAGTTGACCTATATTACATGGATTCAAATAACTGATTGCACAAACGTGGAGTAGACAAATTTAACTTAGTAAGGTAGACCTCATAAGAATAAAACTTAGGGAGGTGGTAGCTGTGGTGCAGTGGGTTAAGCTGCTGCTTGGGATGCCCACATTCCATACTTCAGTGCCTGGTTCAAGTCCCTCTACACTTCCACTACAGCTCTTGCTAATGCACCTGGGAAGCAGGAGATGAGGGCTCAAGTCCCAGAGTTGCTGTCACCCATATGGGAGACCCAAATAGAGCTCCTGGTTCCAGCCTGGAGCAATCTCAGCTACTGCAGGCATTTGGGCTGTGACCCAGTAAATGGAAGATCTCTGGCTCTCCCTCTCCATTATTCTGACTTTCAAGTAAATAAATGTGCTTTTCATTTTAAGAAATTAATAAAATTTGGTTGTATAACTGTCATTTGGTGGTTTCCCTTCCTGATAATCTCAAAAGGACTGCCTTCCTACCCTCCATCCAAGAAATATAATAGTGGAAAATGTTGTAAAAACTGCTGTAATTCATTTCAAATAACAAAAATAATTCCAAAATTAAGATTTTTGTCCTCTACGTATTTCCCAAGAACAAAGTGAAACAAATTCAAAGAAAAAGTAATACACAAGAAACACTAAAAGGTAGCTTATAGGATGCTACCCATCTTGTTTTTCCAGCTTAAAAGCTGAAAAAAGATTCTTAAAATGAATTCCCATGCTCAGGAAGTTAAAATGTTCCTTTTTCTCCCTGAGAATAAATTATACTAAAAATTTGAAGTCTGAAAAAATCAAGCCATGGTGGATCTGAAATGAATGCATTAAAGCTATGGCCAGGGAGGCATGATCCTGCTCAGAAGACATGTGATCAGACCACAAGAGACCTACTTCAATTCTTGACGGCAAAAGGTAAACCAAACCAAACGGAACTATAATTTTACAATAGCCAGCAAACCACTTCAGATCTCAATTTGGAGTCAACCTAAGTTGACCTGCTAAATAACCCAAAATTCATTTTTAAACTTGAGCTGTATTCTGTGAAAGGTTTTCATTCCTAAAGGAGACTCTACATAAAACTCAAAGATTACAACCTTCTATGACACTGGACTCTAAAGTACTACTAATGAAGACTCACAAGATAAATATCTTTTATTTTTTATTTTTTTAAATTTATTTGACATACAGAGTTAGACAATGAGAGAGAGAGACAGAGAGAAAGGTCTTCCTTCCGTTGGTTCACTCCCCAAATGGCTGCTACGGCTGGAGCTATGCCAATCTGAAGCCAGGAGCCAGGTGCTTCTTCCTGGTCTCCCATGCAGGTGCAGGGACCCAAGGACTTGGCCATCTTCCCCTGCTTTCCCAGGCCACAGCAGAGAACTGGGTTAAGCCGCAGCCTGAAATGCTGGCATCCCCTCAGGCACAGGTTCGCATTCCAGCCGCTCCACTTCTGATCCAACTCCCCGCTAATAGCCTGGAAAAAGCAGCAGAAGATGGCCCAACTGTTTGGGCCCCTGCCACACACACAGGAGACCCAAATGAAGCTCCGGTCTTCCTTTTGCCATTGGTTCACCCTCCAATGGCCGCCGCGGCCGGCGCACCGCGCTGATCCAATGGCAGGAGCCAGGTACTTATCCTGGTCTCCCATGGGGTGCAGGCCCCAAGCACTTGGGCCATCCTCTACTGCACTCCCGGGCCACAGCAGGGGCCTAAACACTTGGGCTGTCTTCCATGGCTTTCCTAGGCCATAAAAAAAGAGCTGGGTAGGAAGAGGAGCAACCAGGACATGAACCAGCATCCATACGGGATGCTGGCACTGCAGGTGGAGGCTTAGCCTACTACACTACAGCACTGGCCCAGTAAAGTAGAAATTTGAATATTCCAGATAATTTCCACTTTAGGAAGTATTGAAAAATGGAGTCATCTTAAGATTCAAAAGAATTATATACCAGAAACATTTATTTTATAATCAACAATAATGTCCTTACCTCTATTTAAAGAAAACAATGTACATGACATAATCATAAGTATGTGACATAATCATAAAAGGTTATTAGAATGTCTGAAGAATGGTTAACAGCTTTCCCAACTGTTCATATAAATCATCATACTGTTTGTTCTTTCTTGCTTTTAATGTTAAAGACAGGAAACCACTTCTTGTTCATATGCTGTCCATGAAAGCATAAAATGGGATTAAGATTAAAGACAGTTGTTTTCTCTGATCTAAAAAAACACCATGAGAGGCAGTGGTGATGGCTCTAAGAAATGGGTCCCTGCCACACATGTGGGAGACCGGGAGACTTGGATTTAGTTCCCAGCTTCCAGACTGGGGGCTGAGTCTGCGGATGGGCACACTCTACCTTAATGTCTCACAAATGAATAAAATATTTTAAAGAAACGGTCACTCCTGTTACACACTCACTTCAGAAGACTCAAAACTTTTCACTGCTATAGTACCACCACTCACACTAGCATCCTTGTCTCATTCACTTACTGAGCATATAGCAATGCACCACCGTCGTTTAAAGCACTGGGCAGAGGAGTAAACAGAAGGATAACAATAATCCTCGCCCTCCTGGGATTTACATTCTGGTAGAAGAGATGCTAAAGAAGACAAATGTATAAAACGCCAAGGATGTTAGGGAAAATGCTAACAGCAGCAACAAAAAGCACACAGGGGCTGTATGATGCCAGAGTCATGCTGTGATACAATAGTCTGGAAGGGTCTTCCTGGCAGCACGAGCAACAAGTGCAACGGCAGTGCAGCAGGATTACGCCTGCCGTGTCTGAAGAACAGCAAAGAGACCAGTCTGGCTGGAGATGAGCGAGAGGCCAAGCCACAAGACATGGCAGCTTGGTGCTAATGGAGGGTGACACGTGGTTAAATCTAGATTTGCTAATGGACCACACATAAAGTGGGACAGAAGAAAGAATCAGGAGTAACTCCAGGGTTTTTAGCCTAAGTAACAGGAAGACAGCCAGCTGGGTAGAGGAGATATCGGCTTAGTTTCAGACATGTAAAGTTTGAGACGACTATGTGCAGATGTCAAGCGGGTATCCAGAAACAAGGGCCTAGTGTTCAATGGAGAAATCAGAAATAAAGGTATACATTTGGAATTTATCAGCATATACAAGGTACATAAAGATAGTCATCAAAAGGGCCGGCGCCGCGGCTCACTAGGCTAATCCTCCGCCTAGCGGCGCTGGCACACCGGGTTCTAGTCCCGGTCGGGGCGCCGGATTCTGTCCCGGTTGCCCCTCTTCCAGGCCAGCCCTCTGCTGTGGCCAGGGAGTGCAGTGGAGGATGGCCCAGGTGCTTGGGCCCTGCACCCCATGGGAGACCAGGAAAAGCACCTGGCTCCTGGCTCCTGCCATCGGATCAGCACGGTGCGCCGGCCGCAGCGCGCCGGCCGCGGCGGCCATTGGAGGGTGAACCAACGGCAAAGGAAGACCTTTCTCTCTGTCTCTCTCTCTCACTGTCCACTCTGCCTGTCAAAAAAAAAAAGATAGTCATCAAAAGATGAAGCCTGGGTCACACCAACAACTAAGTCAGGCAGACAAGCAGAATACTGCCAGAGAGAGAAGAAAAAAACAGCCAGAAGCCAGCGCCGCGGCTCACTAGGCTAATCCTCCGCCTAGCGGCGCTGGCACACCAGGTTCTAGTCCCGGTCAGGGCGCTGGATTCTGTCCCGGTTGCTCCTCTTCCAGGCCAGCTCTCTGCTGTGGCCAGGGAGTGCAGTGGAGGATGGCCCAAGTGCTTGGGCCCTGCACCCCATGGGAGACCAGGATAAGTACCTGGCTCCTGCCTTCGGATCAGCGCGGTGCGCCGGCCGCGGCGGCCATTGGAGGGTGAACCAATGGCAAAGGAAGACCTTTCTCTCTGTCTCTCACTGTCCACTCTGCCTGTCAAAAAAAAAAAAAAAAAAACAACCAGCCAGAATGGCAGGAGGAAAACCAGGTAATTAAAATGTCTTACAAATCAAGAGAACAAAATGTTTCCATGGGAGTGGACATTTGGCCTACCAATTAAAACACCTGCACCCCAGGGGACCAGCGCTGTGGCATAGCAGGTAAAGCCACCAGCTGCAGTACCAGCATCCTATATGGGTGCCAGTTCGAATCCTGGTTACTCCACTTGTGATCCAGCTCTCTGCTATGGCCTGGGAAAGCAGTAGAAGCTGGCCCAAGTGTGGCACCCACATGGCAGACCTGGAAGAAGCTCCTGGCTCAGGGCTTCGGACTGCCCCAGCTCTGGCCATTGCAGCCATTTGGGGAGTCAACCAGCAGATGGAAGATATCTTTCTCGCTCTATGACTCTATGACTCTGTCTTTCAAACAAAAAAATAAATTAAGAAAGAAAGGAAGGAAGAAGTAAAGAAACCTATACCCCTCAGCAGCGTGCCTGAGTTCAATTCTTGGCTCTGACTCCTGACTCCAGCTTCCCACCAATCCAGATAGTGGGAGGTTTAAAAACAAAAACAAAAACAAAAAGCAACCTTTAGGGGCCAGTGCTGTAGCATAGCAGGTAAAGCTGCCGCCTGCAGTGCCAGCATCCCATATGGGTGCCAGCTCGAGTCCTTCCAATCCAGCTCTCTGCTATGGCCTGGGAAAGCAGAAAATGGCCCAAGTCCTTGGGCCCCTGTGTCCACATGGGAAGACTGAAAGAAGGTCCTGGTCCTGGCTTTGCAATGGAGCAGGTCCGGCTGCTGCGGCCACTTGGGGAGTGAACCACCGGATGGAAAACCTCTCCCACTCTCTGCTTCTCCTTCTCTGTCTGTGTAATTCTGACTCTCAAATAAATAAATA